TACGGGTGTGTGTGGCAGGGATAGGGGTTGAACCAGGGACTCTAAGGGGAGTAAAGAGAAAAGTCACTGGGCCCAGGGAGGGCAGGATGGTGAGTGCAAAGTGGTAAAAGGCCTATTTAAGTCTCAGAGGAATTAAAAGGTTGTTGGAGATGGGGAGCAGGGCTAGAGAGCTGAAAATTAGGTGTGGGAGCCAGAGAGCAGTGACGCTGAATATAAGGCCATGGGCGGAGGGAACTGAGGGAGGGAAAGACAAGCTCATGGGGAGAGAGGTGGTCGAGGAGCTGAGAGGCTGAGGTGTTGGAAGCATCCTTCCTAGGGATACCCGATTCTCTAAGAATGACAGTGAGCCCAGTGCTAAAAGACTCTGAGCGAGAAGCAATGACCCAGAAAAATCTGTAGATGACCACAGTACACGGGGCATCTTCTAAGGGTGTGAGCTTCAAAGCTGGGAGTTTAGCAGGGGAACAAATAGGATGGGCACTTACTGTGGGGCAAAAAAATGGCCCTATCTAGAGAGAAAAAGGGAAAGCTGTGCCTCCAGGGCAGACCAGGGCCCTGCATTACTATTCAGAGAAGCTGAGAATAAGCTCTCAAAGCAAGGTGGGTGTATCAATTCGGGGTCTGCATTAAAAAAAAAAAAAAAGAAAGAAAGAAAGAAAAGAAAAGAAAAGAAAAAAGGAAAAGAAAGGAAAAAACCTTACAACAAGAACATTCGTGTGGCCATGAGTAAGTATACAGTCAGCAGAAACTAACACACCACTGTAAAGCAATTATACTCCAATAAAGATGTTTAAAAAAAATAATTATATAGTATATTTTTAAAAAAATACAAGAGTACACTCTCTCTGCTTTATCTGCTACAAGTGAAGTCACAATCTATCAACAAAACAACATTCACTTAAAATAAAAATCTGCAGGGAATTCCCTGGCAGTCCAGTGGTTAGGACTCAGAGCTTCCACTGCAGGGGGCACGGGTTCAATCCCTGGTCAGGGAACTGAGGTCCCGCAAGCTGCACAGTGCAGCCAAAACAATAAAAATAAATAAATAAATAAATAAAAATCTGCAGAGGGCAGGAGTATGTCTTTTAATAATCAACCCAATGCCCAGGATGAGTGAAGATTTATCAATGACAGAGATTGTAATTATATTCTTATGTGAAAAATCACAATAATTTTATCATTTCTTTCATTTGAAAATTTGAATTTTGATGTCTTTTTGTAGAAAACTATAACCACCACACAACCACTGTCCTTTTATAAACTGATGAGGCCAGAACTTAAGAACAAAGTCCTCTTCCTCAGCTCATTCATCAAGAGCACTTTCAGAAGGACACAAGAAACACAGTGAACATAAGGATAATACACACCATGAGTTCTCAAACAGATTTCCTTCATGTCATTACTTCCTGTTTCTCAGCCCAATTCAACGGAGGCTCGAAAGAACTATGGTGAAATTAACCGTGGAACTTCCCCATAGCACTTCCCTAGATGCTTCCCTGCTAAAAGTACCCCTAGGTACTTTTTTTTTTTTTTTTTTTTTTTTTTTTAAACTGGAGAGGGAGCCAGATACAATGGCACATTGCTTCTGCCAATAAGAAGTGAAAATAGAAATTATCAGCTATGTAGTTCTCTTTGGCCTGGACCCTTTGAAAGCTTAATAATGGTTTAAAAGTGTCCTGTTAAATTGCTTCCAAACACCTGCCTCTTTAAAACACAACGAGACCAAAACTTCATTTTACTTGGGGAAGAAGAAGTGTTTACAGAAAGTTAATTCCTCTACTCATGCCTCCATCTAAGAAGTACCCTGAATTTTTCTACCAAAAAGATAAAAGATGTCTATAGGTTAACAGGCAAACCATGCCTGGTGCCAGCAGGAAAACTGAAGCCAGTGGGAAACACAATTCCAGTGCCCCCTCCAGCCTGTGCTTTCAGGAGCCTTCTAATGAGGGGAGATCACACCAACCCTGACTGCTGGCCCCACACCACCTGAGGCAGGCCAGCAGTTCCTGGAGAGCTCCTTCAGCAGAAGTCCTAGTATACAGCTACTAAAGGTGGACCAAGCTTGAATACCTCAAACTAAGGTGTATTTTTTAAATATAAAAGGACAACAGGCCTGCCATAATACAGTAGCTACTCAACCAGACGTATTTTGAGAAACACTAAAACTAATATTTACTTCCAGGTAGAACAACAGGGCTTTCACAACACAGTGCTAAGGGTATACAAATGAATGGTCTGGTCCCTCAGGCCACCAGGACGGGAGAGGCACTGTGCTCTGGCCAGTTCCACAAAGCCATTCTGCACACTGGCCTACAAACATTTATAATTGTGCAACCTTCCCACCACCACCCCCCCAGAAAAAAACAAACAAACAAACCCAAAACCTCTCAAACAACTTCAGGAAAGCCTTGCCTATGCAAAATGTAAAGTAATTCTTTTAAAGCAGAAAACTCAAGAGGCTTTACTGTGCAAATCTACACCATGAACTTCTAAGGGGCTATAGGCTGCCGGGGAGTTACCTATGCCTCCGGCACCAGAGGGGCACTGTGACTTCAACAATATTTGTGGCATCTTCTGAGCAGACTGTGAATCAATTCACAGAAGCAACATCTCTCAACGGTTCATCTTAACGTACACTAGAGCTGGGTGGGTAACTAAATCCAGGTCCTTGATTTTAGCCAACACTATTCTCCCTGGACTAGTGTCTCATCAGTGCCATCAACACCGAGTAAAGAAAGATGAACACACGGCTAAGGCCAAATAACAGATGAGGCAAGAAAAATAACAAAAGATTTCTGGGACTGGCCATGACTCAAACCAGGAAAATGGTCCAAAGAGAGCCAAAAGAACTTTTTCATTATGTGTATGAACTCCCAGTACTTGAGCGACATTATCAGGGAAACCACTGCTACAGAATTTTCAGTGTCACAATTACCTTTGAACTAGGCAAGTTATTTTCTATCCCCTGAAAGTGCTTTTGTTAAGAAAACCCATACAGAGCCCTACAGAACACCCCCAACCTTCAAAGGGTACACGCACCCCTGGGAGAAGAAGATGAGGAGGCCCTTTCTCAGTGGAAGCCGATGAGTTACATGGAGCAGATGAGGTCTCCCTAAAGCCCACAAAGACTTTTATATTGGAGGACTTTTATATTGGTAGTTCCTCGAAAACCTAAACTGTACTCAGTTAATGTAGGCACAGAAAAGTACTACACATGAGAAAAAATAAAAGAACGAACACAATTATATCTGTCCCAAACAGTCTGTGCCAAAATATTCCAAGGTGGGCTACAAGGGCAAAATTACTATTATCAGGCATCAATATGTTAGTGCAGTGGAGTTACAAATATAGAATTATAGTTCTCCTAAAAATGATGCCCACATTGTCCTCTAAAACGATTAAAAAGCAAATTAAAGGAGGTGGCAGACAAAATTCTAATAATTTTCAAATTCATGAATGTACTAGGAAAATTATGTGCTTTGTAGAATTCAGGACTCAAGGATGATAACACTTCGAAAATGAGTACAAAAGGACCCGTACGGCACTGACTAAACACACTGCTTACAAAAATCAGTGACCTCTCTACTCAACATTCATACTTCAAAACATCATACTTCACCGTATGATGACTCTTCTAGAAAACTATATTCTCACTTGTGGGTGGCAATCTTTTTTTTTTTTTTACTCCAAACAAGCAATAAAATTGAGATGTTTACTTCATTTTAACTAGATACCTATATGACATGGCATTTTGAAAATCTCCGTTCACTGTTCATTATTAATATCAAAGTAAGACCAAAGATGATGCCGTGCGACCCTATGTACAGCTCGCCATTTTATCAATAGTACATACTGTAACTATTCCAGGCAAGGGAAAAAGATAACATAATTCACAAGCCACAACTTGAACAAAGAGACTATTTTTTGTGAGCAAAAATCAAAGTGAAAGATAATATGATGATTTGTTTTTCGTTGTTACTCACCTCTTCAAAATTAAAGGCAAGGTTAAATTGAGCTCAAAAAAAAAACAAAAAATTGAGCTCAAGTTAGAGAAATACCATCACAAAAAGAGATACTGCACAAAACTCAACAATGCTAGCCAAAGTAAATGATGATACTATATTCCCAGAATTCCATTTTTTATATATGTATAAATCTGTTCTTTTTCAGATTCTTTTCCATTATAGGTTACCATAAGATACTGAATACAGTTCCCTGTGCTATACAGTAGGCCCTTTCTGGTTATCTGTTTTCTAAATATTAGTGTGTATATGTTAATCCCAAACTCCTGATTTATCCCTCCCCCATCTTCCCCTTTGGTAACTATAAATTTGTTTTCTATGTCTGTGATTCTGTTTCTGTTTTGTAAGTAAGTTCATTTGTATCATTTTTTTTAGATTCCACATATATGCAATATCATATGATATTTGCCAGTCTGACTGACTTTGCTTAATATGATAATCTCTCTAGGTCCATCCCTGTTGCTGCAAATGACATTATTTCATTCTTTTTTATGGCTGAGTAACACTCCATTATATATATGTACCACATCTTCTTTATCCATTCTTCTGTCCATGGACATTTAGGCTGTTTCTATGTCCTGGTTGTGGTAAACAGTGGTGCTATAAACGTAGGGGTGCACATATCAAAGTGTATCAAAGTGCACACTTTAAATATAAATATATAAAAATTTTTTAGTTTATTATTTAAAATTTTTTCATGATGTTTAATATCAAAATCTATGAAAATGTTGTCTATGGACTTATTTACGCTACTTGGGTCTGTCTCTGAACAAAGTGCATTATCAGGAGAGAATGTATTTTTCCTCCAAATGTCAAATTTTCTTACAGTCAACAGATAAAAATATAAAAAGGTCACTTCCCTAGAGACAAATAAATACCACTAAGACTTTAAAATTACCTCATTCTGACACCAAATCCCACAAACAGTAGAGACAGCCACATTTTTATTAGGAACGTGAAGAATTCAGCATTACTCACAAGAATAGTTCCGTAACTGAAAAGGAACTCTTCTGTTACAACTTGAGGTCGAAATACCTGTGTGATGAAAGTTTCCACAGATTAAATCCCGAAAGCCATGTACAAAAGTAAAATGAAAATGTTTTGTCTGAGTTGATGTTTCTCAGCTCCAGTTTACAAAGAAGGGAGTCACATTTTTATACATTTTTTCCAAACAGGATGATACCTGAGACGTTACGAGGTGAAGCACTATAGGCATGAGGGGGAGACACATCTTCAGCTGCTTCGCTTGAACTGTGGATGGGTGTTTACGACCAGAAACGTTAGCCAAGGCGTTCAGAATGTCACCTGCGAAGCACACCCCAGAGCACACGTGAGGTTAGAGACCACAGATACGTAGGGACCACTGGTTGTGGGTTGAACACTAATGGGATTGCTGAGTGAGGCAATTAATCTCCAAATAAAAGAAGTGGGTAGAAGCTGCATTGTTTTATTCACAACTCTTGACATTACAACAGAAAGTTGTGGCCTCTAGGGTCAGGATGGATATAAAATTGATCTCTCACCTAGAAATTTAAAACAGAAATGATTTTTTTCTTCTTTTTTTTTTTTTTTGCACTTTCCGAATTTCAACCATGAGCACTCATTACCTTTGTAAACAGAAAAAAGTTATTAAAAAATTACAAGTGAATAGATTATAGATCAGAATTTTTTAATAACAGAATAGGATGGCAGTAATAAGATATCAATTCCTAATACTTCTCATTGGATGGCAAGTCCAATAATAAATAAAACTTGTTTGTTGGATACCTGAATCCCTCATCTCCTAGGATAGGACGAGTCAGGTAATAAGAAACTCAACTATCAATTGACCAGCTCATGGCCTTTGGTTTGCAGATTTTAAAAAGGTTACAATCCAAATAAATTTTGAAATGCTCTATTTTCAGTCATTAACAGGCAAAAATCTCCCACAGTATTAGTAAGGAGCAAAAAGTTACTGTCAAATCAGCCATGAAGATATTTTCATTACTTTGATTTAATATTCTGAATTTCTGCACCTAAATATCTTTTACCATAATGGGTTGGGTCAAATTTAACATTTTAAACATTTCTGGTTTATAGCTACATCTGCTGGAAAAGCATGGAATGAGATTTAAACTAAACGTACGCGTACGCATTCCTTAGATTATTTTCACGTCTGTAAATAACAGTGGAATAACCAATTTTGTTAGCTGTAATAAACATCCTTTGCAAATCATTATTACTTTCATCTTTTATTCAGACCAAAGAAAATTTTAAACTTTGAACTCTAATATCAAAATTCTTTAATATTGTTAGTGCCTATGCATTTAAAATTTTTTTTAACAAAAAATAAATTTGTGGCTATAACCTGAAGGAAAAAGCTTTTCTTCAGAATTATGCAGAGAGAAATCTTGAGAAAAGTTACCTAAAATGATAGCCTAAGTCCAATTTTAACCAATTAAAATGCTTTCCTTCTATTTTCCAAAACTGCTAGATGACACTCAATGTAACCGTTAGCCTGCTCATTGCCTCATTCATGTCACTGATACAAAATAATTATGAAAACAGATAAGGCACATTCAAATTTTGAAACTACACATTCAAGAAAAAGTGTCATTGCACTCGCCTGAAAAAAAAAGACCGGCAAGAACAAAGAAAGAAGGGATGCCTAAATGCCAAGTCGCAGAAAGGTAAGCAGCAAGGGGCCTGAGGACAAGACTCCAATTTACCCAGGATTCGTGGCAGTTCCTGCACGATGTGACAGATGAGCAGGTCCAGGCATTTGGACAGGTACTCATTGCCGCTCTGCTGTTCCTTGCCTGAAGTGGTCTTTCTGCTGTCTCTCTCGATGTACATCACCAGTCTACACACAGCAAAATGCAAAAGATTACCTCTCATGATAAAACAGTTGATAGCACCTGCCTGAACATGCCACCAAGGCAAGTGTTTCCAGGGGGCACAGTCCCCATCTTGTTGACATTTAGATTTGGAGCAACTTGTCAAGCACAGTCTATTTTTGCCTTAGAAAAATCGAAACATTTATGCAGAGAGAAAATAAGGCAACTTTGAAGCTCTCTGCCAACGTATTACAAAACAATGCCCTGACTTCATTTGCCTCTGGCCCATGAAAGGAAACCACATTCTTCAGATGACAGATGAAAGGCAAACAGAAGTGTCTGGAGAGAAGAGGGCTTTGGTGTTTTGACGATTCAAAGTAGAACCACAAGTTGTCTGCACTTGTGTTGGTCATCAGTCTTAAACTTGTGTATATAAATCCAAAGAAAAAGTTTCATTTCAGCACTGGGTGATATAGATAGCAGACACTATCTGAACATCTGGATTTCACATGCCCTTTTGTCCACTGGGTTTATGAAATCTGTCTCAATAAACTTATTTCTTCTTCAAACAATTGGCATTTATTAAATATCAATCTTTGAACCAACTGCCTCCAATCCAGAACTAGGGGACATACTGAACCATCAGTCTGGTTACTTAGGGTATTGTTGAAAAGTTTTAGGCCCACGTTTCCTTCCCTTTGCTGGACCCACTCCCCAAGTTCCTAGTCCCCGAAACTCTAAAAGGCAATGAGTCCCCTGACTTCAAAGGCCCCGTTACAGCAATCTCCCTTGCTGGACTCCCTTGCCATTATCCATCTCTCCAGCTCTGTTGCAATCACTCATCCCATCCAACTTCTACTTCTCAGAACTTCCAAAAACTCCCACTATAAACTGGAAAGGGGTGGTTCTGGACACAATACACATACGTAACGTACACTGAAATCTTAACATTTAGCATTTACGTGGTTCTCTTAGTAGATTTATGCATCCTTTTGCCTTCCTGCTTATTATTATTTGGAGCCCTATTAGTAAAACACCTGGGAATGGAACCGAATCAGAAGTTTGCTTAGTTGACACCTGTTCCATCAGCCCAGCTAAGGAGCGGGACCAGAAAACACCATCTTCCTTTTCGGTTCCCCAAGATGGGTCACGATATCTCCCTGCCCAGTCTCGCCATCTGCTGAACAGCTTTTCCAACATTAAAGATTCCGGCATTCAACTGCATCCCCTCCAAGCTAAGTATTACAAACATGCCCTCTGACCGTAATCTGCTCTTATTCCTACTTGCACGATCTCCCACTGTGACAGTCCTTCAGCCTGCTGGGAACTTCCACTAATCGAATCCATGACATCTTCTCCCAATCCATCGGCACTCCTTCACTTACACTCTTGCCCTCTTTCTTTCCTCTGCTCCCATGTAGCCAAATGATTTGGATGAATCCAATGGTCTATATACTTTCTGTACATCTGCAGAGAGGCTGCTCAAGTTCAATATGGGGCAGATTCACTCTACTGGAAATGCATGTCACCAATACTCAGTGGCACTGGACAGTACCAGTGCCCAGCTACATTTCACTGGTCGACTTATTCCCAGTCTATCTTCAAATTTTTCTTCTCTTTATACCCTGAAATTTCCATCCTCTCTTGAGACTCTCAGTGAGTGCTTTTGCCTCCTACTGTCCAGAGAAAACGGAGAGTATCATGAAAAACACTCTTCTTCCTAATTCTCAGTTTACTGTGTGTCCTATCCTAGGCTCCTTTCCTCCCATCACAACTGCAGACCTCTCTCTCCTTCCAACTGTGCTTTGGATCACATTCCCTTCCACTTTCCCAGAACCTTGAATCTGCCAATTACTCGTTTTCTGCTTTTATATATTGACTCTCTCCCATTTAACAAAATGCTTTTCACATCCTTCTACCAACTGCCCCGCTGCCTCTCTCCTCCCTTTCTCGGTAAAACCTCTTAAAACAGAAATCTACACCTTGTATCTCCATTTTTCCTCCTAACTTCCTCAACCCACCACAGTCTGCTCTCACTCCCATCACTTGCTCTGAGGTCACCAACAACCTCCATGACATCAAAGCCAATGGACACCTGTCTGCCTTCACCTGTCTGAACAATTCAGCAGGGTTCAATACACCTGCCACTCCTGCTCGTCTATACATCATGACAGCATACAGTTCTAGTTTCCTTCTCTGGGTTCTTTAGTTGTTCCTTCTCTGGGTCTTTTGTTGGTTCATGCTCCTAAATGCTCAAATCTATCAAAACTCAGTCCTGGGTCCACTACTCTTTTCTTTCTACCCATCTCACGCAGGTCATCTCATCCCCACCCATGATTTAATTTACCACCTATCTACACAGACATTTTCCAGTCACCTATGTACAGGCCAAACCTGGTGTCTCAAGCTACAGACCTGTACATTCAACTGCTGACTTGACTTGACTTGACATCTACTTTTGCTTGTCTCAAAGGCATTCTTAACTCTACAGATCCCCAAAAAACACCATTATCATCCCAACAAAACTGGTTGCCTTTCAGAATATAATATTCCACCACACAGCATCACTCTCTACCAGCCAGACACCCAGGAGTCATCCCTCTCACCTCCCTTTCTGTCACTTCCCACACCAAGTCAATCATTAAATACTCCTTAAACCATTAGACTTTTCCACTCCTCACCAAATGCAAGCTTCCAAACTCCCTTCTCCTTCTTCTACGACCAGAGCCTCCTAGCTGGCCTACCTGCTTCTACTCTAACCCTTACACACCTTACATCTAAACTGATCTTGCCCACCACCTTGCTCCCGTGTTTAAAACCCTTCAGTGGAACCCCACTCTTCTTAACATGGGAGTTCTTAACACTCCTTATCGTAACTTACAACACCCTCAACTATCTCTCCAGCTTCCACTTGCTTTCTCTCCCCAGCAGTCATACTGTTCTTCTTACAGTCCCTCAAACTCAATACCTCCCCCAGCAACAAGGTACTGCCTCTCTGCCTGCATGGCTTTTCTCTCTGCTCCTTGCCAGTGAACTCCTATACATATTTCATAATTCACTGCAGTTTTCACTGACTTCTTAAATTAAACCTATGACATTGTCTCATAGCATTAAGGCCCTTACTCAACTGCAATTTCTTGATATATTTTTTATTATCTGATAATGTTTGTCATTCCAGTAAATTTAAAAATAGCCAAGGGCAAGGACTGTATCTGATTTTTCTCACCACAACATCATTGCACTTTTGGGCATAGTTCCTGACACAAAATAAGGGCTCAATAAACATCAGCTGAATAGATACATATGGCTGTTGAGATTGCTGTTAAGACTTTACCTAGTTCTCTACATCAATTCCTTGGTCCTTATTTCCCCCAAGGTCTTTTTCTTAATTCTACTGTTTGATTATACTGCTGGATCACATAAGAAGTAAAAAAAATCTTCTGCTTAGGAAAAGATACCATGAGCAAAACCAAGAGACAAATAAATTGGGGAAAAATACGTCCCCCATTTGGTCACCAATAGATAAATGGATAAAAAAAGATGTGACATATACATGCAATGGAATTGCTTTGCAACACAAGGATGGAACTTAAGGACATTGTGCTAAATTAAAATCAGTCAGACAGAGAAAGATAAACACTGCATGGTATTACTTATATGTGGAATCTAAAAAAAAAAGTCAAACTCATGGAAAACTAAGAATAGAAAAGTGGTTGCCAGGGGTTGGGGTAAATAGTGAGAAGCTGGTATAAGGGTACAAAACTTTAAGCTACAAGATGAGTAAGGTCTGAGGGTCTAACGTAAAACCTGGTGACTATAATTGAGAACACTGTATTATACAGTTCAAATTTGCTAAGAGTAAAATTTAAATGTTCTCACCAAACACAAAAACAGAAAATATGTGAAGTGACGGATGTGTTACCTAGATGGGAGGATCCTTTCACAATGTATATATATATATATATATATATATATATATATATATATATATATATATATATATATATATATATATATATATATATATATATATATATATATATATATATATATATATATATATATATATATATATATATATATATATATATATATATATATATATATATATATATATATATATATATATATATATATATATATATATATATATATATATATATATATATATATATCAAAGCACCACGATGTACACTTTAAATATCTTGTAATTCTATGTCAATTATATCTCAATAAAGCTAAAAGATTTTTAAGACAAACTGGGAAAAAACATTTCCAATTCCTATTAAAATACCTGTATACATATGACACACAGCAAAAATTTGAGGTGGAAACTGTCCAGCAAAAGGGGACTGGTTAAATAAAATACAGTCCACCGTTACAATGTAGCTACCAAAAAACTGAGCAAGCTTTACATATATTTTGGGCAAAAACGCAAGGTACGTTACGTAAAACAAGCAAAGTTCAAAATAGTATGCTTTTGTGTAACAAGAGAGGAATATAATCTATACTCACTTTTGCCTGGATTTAAAAAAATTCTGGAAGGATGAATAAGTAAGTAATAATAATGCTTTATTTTGTATAGTGGTAATCTGGGGCTGTGGAGCATGAGGTGTAGTTTCTTACTTTTTGAATTTTTCTGGATTATGAACCATGAGTAGGAGTTATCTATTCAAAACTTAAGCTAAAATGTTTTGAAAACATGAAATAGTATCGTTCTACACAGCCAATTTTTTTTAAAAAATGTTTAGGAGATGTAATGCTCAATTACACAGGATACGCTACCAGATGATAAATGCTGAGTGCCCTGCAAAAAGACTACTACTTTCTGTAAGAGCTACAGACCTCCATCTTCTCACTGTGCCAAGAGTCAGGCTGACTTTAAACAAGAGGTAAATCAACAGCAATACCACACCAGTACCCCAAAACTTTATTATGGCCTGTGCCCCATTATGATTTCTAGATTATTTTTCTCCTTTCCTTCAGTAGGGTCATTCTTTTAACTTGATAATATTGACAGAGATTT